TACTGTCACAAAGCAGTACTTTGTACCTACTCGCAAAATGACCTACTCATCTGTAGGCACTTTGAAAGTATTACTATCGTCGCATGCTGTAGGAACCGATTTCTCTGTCGACTAGCATTGCATTATACCCGCAATATCTAGTAAACGGTTACGATCGCTTGTCAGTAAAATTACGAGGCATGGACTTATTAATTCTTGTCGGTATTCCATACAACCAACGGATGATCTGGCTGTTTGGATGTCTATAAACCACATTGTTTAAGTGTGGATGAGACATAACCTGCAAAAAGTGTTATATCTCAACTGTCACTGCTATTCAGTGCCTACTGACACAAAGCAGTGCTTTGCACCTACTACACCTTGTAGTAGGCAATGAGTAAAGGTGACGACTAACCATTTTGTAGTTTATATCTCACCCATCTGCAAAATGTCAGTAGATCAACTCGCTTATGGCGTACTGGTGAGATTTCGGAGCCAATTTATGTTCGGTAAGTCTGTCAGTAGGCACAAAGCGATGCTTTCTGCTAGTAGGCATTGAGCTGCAGTGACACTTTGTAGGTTACATCTTGCCTACAGTTGCCTTAATACTCTAAATTCGCAGATTTCGTAAATTTCTAGACATAAAACAAACATATTCTTGTTATAACCGTTATTTTTATATCGATATAAACGTACCGTTGGTCTTTACTTACCGTTACGGCTTAGGGATCCTGCAGCAGTCCGACGCCGCCCTGGGCAAGATCCCGCGATCCCGCAGCAGGGTTCTGGGTCAGTTATTGGAAAAGGTCCGTCCCAACATCCAGGAGAGAGAACGCAGCAAGTCGGCGGGGCAGACGGAAAAGCCATTGTCGACGCCACAGAAACCCACTGTCAAAAAACCGTTCATGACAAGGTAGGGTGCTGTTTCACGTTTTAGTGCTGTCAAAATTCATCTCATCGTGTTATAAAAAATTGTAATTGTTTGGCGCAAAAGTCAAACGAGTCCCCCGTTTGGTAGTTGACCAGTGAAATCTGATAGGGTCGTTTCCCATTTCGTATTTACGTTCATGCATTTGTAATTTTTTGATTTCCAATCGTTTCGTGGAATAAAACACCATGTTGACGTAAGTTGTACGTTTGAACTACTTTCAAGCAACGGTAAAGACAAACACAATAATTTCATCCTTTTAACATTTCATTGCATTTAGAATCGTTGTAAACGCTTAAGCGATCAACCGCTACGGGTGACCGTTGTCGCCCCTGCTACCATTCTCATCTTTTAATGTTACTTTGAGGAATTGCAACGAAACGTTCTTGTTTGTTGATTATTTCACGTTCGTATAACGTTTCACTTATGGGAACGACCCCGTTGCAGGTTACTGGTCAAAATCAAAATTTATCTGAACGTGATCCGTGGGTAGCGTCCCGTACGCCTTCCGTTCCGCCGTGTGATTAAAACCGACTTTTTCGGGGGCAGCCAGCAGATGAACATCGACAAGCTGGAGGCGCACATCAAGGAGAAGCTGCACGACATCATGAACAGGCGCCAGAGTCAGCCGTCCTCCAAGTCCGACACCGAGACGGAGCGGAAGTTGCTGAAGGATGACAGGAAGCTAAGCAAGACCGACCTGGAGTCTATCGGTAAGGAAGAACGTCGATTTTCGTTATTTTTTTTGTGAAAACAAGGCGTGTTTGCAGCCAAACTCGGATCGAAGCAGCGCATAATGTACAAGAAGATCGGGAAGAGCTGCGACAAGATAAACGCCTCCAGCAAGTCGGACAGCGAGGTGAAGAAGTGCAAGTCCGAGTCGGAGTACCAGAGGATCTCCGACGCGACCAGCCAGAACATCAAGGCGTTGGTGCACGAGACCAGGTCGAGCCCCAGCAGCCCCAAGGGCAAGAACAAATGCAAGCCGCCCGCGAAACAGCCGAAGAAGAAGGTACGTCGCTGTCTCGTCCCCCTTCCCCGAAATGCACGTCCCGTTTTCAGGTCTACCCCTACAGCGACGGCGAGGACAACGTCTTCTACTCCATGCACGACTCGGCCGACTCGCTGAGCACCTCCAGCCGCCGCTCGAGTCTCGAGGGCAACGACAAGACCCTGGTGGTGGTGATCAACCGCCGCAACAAGAACATGTCGCTGGCCCAGAAGCAGCGCAGCTGGGAGACCTTCCCGCCGAAGAGGCGGCACCACATGTGCCACAAGATGTCCGCCCCGACGCCGCCCATGCCGCCGCTGCGGAAGGCCGACAGTTTCGAGGGTGAGCCGTTGTTTGTTTGTTTGTTTTTTTCGATTTCTGATTTGTGATTCTGTACCTTCTCCCTCAGGTCACGAGGAGGCGGTGAAGAGCCTGGTGGCCGCCGTGCAGGAGACCAGGCGGAAGCCAAAGGGGGGCAATTAACCGATAGGGAACGCGGAGCGGTCTTACGAATATACGGGAATCTTCATGTATGCCACTTTCAACTGACGCAAATGAGCGAAGAAGTTTTATATCGTAAGATTAAATTAAAAACTCTTGAGTGGGTCGGGCGGAATGCACATAACAGATTGTATGCAAAGTATGATACGTTTGAACTACTATTGGAGTGGTTGTGCACGTTTGAACTACTGTTCTCAAAGTTGTATACGTTTGAACTACTATTCTTAGAGCTGTGTATGTTTCAACTACTAAACTCAAAGTAGTGTATGTTTGAACAACTTTTCTAGTAGTTGTGAACTTTTGAACTACTATCGAGTTTGTATGTTTGAATTACAGTTCTTGGAGTAATTGTGTTTGAACTACAGTTCTTGGAGTAGTTGTGAAAGTTTGAACTACTATTCTCAAAGTAGTATACGTTTGAACTACTAGTCTCAGAGTTAAATATGTTTGAACTATTGTTGGAATAGTTGTGTACGTTTGAACTACTACTCTGGAAGTAGTTGTGAAAGTTTGATCTATTCTTGAAGTACGTTCGGACTATTCTCAGAGTAGTTGTGTATGTTTGAACTACAGTACTTGGAGTAATTGTGTTTGAACTACTGGTCTTGGAGTAGTTGTGAATGGTAGAACTACTATTCTCGAAGTATACTGTCCTTGGAGTAGTTGTGTATGTTCGAACTACAGCTGTTTTTGAGTGCGTTGCTGAAATTCAAACCAACTGGGGCTGTATTATGTGATTCCAAAGGCTGAGGTTTTCCATCTCTCACTACTCCCAAAACAGCAAAGGATACAAATTCGTTAAAATGGAANTCCCGTTTTCAGGTCTACCCCTACAGCGACGGCGAGGACAACGTCTTCTACTCCATGCACGACTCGGCCGACTCGCTGAGCACCTCCAGCCGCCGCTCGAGTCTCGAGGGCAACGACAAGACCCTGGTGGTGGTGATCAACCGCCGCAACAAGAACATGTCGCTGGCCCAGAAGCAGCGCAGCTGGGAGACTTTCCCGCCGAAGAGGCGGCACCACATGTGCCACAAGATGTCCGCCCCGACGCCGCCCATGCCGCCGCTGCGGAAGGCCGACAGTTTCGAGGGTGAGCCGTTGTTTGTTTGTTTGTTTTTTTCGATTTCTGATTTGTGATTCTGTACCTTCTCCCTCAGGTCACGAGGAGGCGGTGAAGAGCCTGGTGGCCGCCGTGCAGGAGACCAGGCGGAAGCCAAAGGGGGGCAATTAACCGATAGGGAACACGGAGCGGTCTTACGAGTATACGGGAATCTTCATGTATGCCACTTTCAACTGACGCGAATGAGCGAAGAAGTTTTAATCGTAAGATTAAATTAAAGACACTTGAGTGGGTCGGGCGGAATGCACATAACAGATTGTATGCAAAGAATGATACGTTTGAACTACTATTGGAGTGGTTGTGTACGTTTGAACTACTGTTCTCAAAGTAGTATACGTTTGAACTACTATTCTTAGCGCTGTGTATGTTTCAACTACTTTTCTAGTAGTTGTGAACGTTTGAACTACTATCGAGTTTGTGTATGTTTGAATTACAGTTCTTGGAGTAACTGTGTTTGAACTACAGTTCTTGGAGTAGTTGTGAACGTTTGAACTACTATTCTCAAAGTAGTATACGTTTGAACTACTAGTCTCAGAGTTGTATATGTTTGAACTATTGTTGGAGTAGTTGTGTACGTTTGAACTACTATTCTCGAAGTAGTGTTACTATTCTCAGAGTATGTTTGAACTACTTGAAGTAGTTGTGAACGTTTGATCTATTCTTGAAGTATGTTCGGACTATTCTCAGTGTAGTTGTGTATGTTTGAACTACAGTTCTTGGAGTAATTGCGTGAACTACTGTTCTAGTAGTTGTGAACGTTTGAACTACTATTCTCGAAGTTGAAATACTATTCTCAGGGTTGTGTACGTTTGAACTACTTTTCTCAAAGTTGTGTATGTTTGGAATACTTGTCCTGTAGTAGTGAACGTTTGGACTACTATTCTCAATGTAGTCTACATTTGAATTACTATTCTGAGTTGTGTAAGTTTGAACCACTGTTCTGAACGTTTGAACTACTATTCTTGAAGTAGTGTATGTTTGAACTACAGCTGTTGGAGTAATTGTGGGTTTGAACTACTGTCCTTGGAGTAGTTGTATATGTTCGAACTACAGCTGTTTTTTAGTAAATTGCTGAAATTCAAACCAACTGGGGCTGTATTATGTGATTCCAAAAGCTGAGGTTTTCCATCTCTCACTACTCCCAAAACAGCAAAGGATACAAATTCGTTAAAATGGAAGCCCTAAACCTAAAAACAATAAGTTTAAACTTCGACATATATTTGAACTACTGTTCTTGGACTAGTTGTGTACATTTGAACTACTTTTCTCAGAGTAGTTGTCTCTGGACTACTATTCTCAGTGTAGTTGTGTACGTTTGAACTCCTGTTCTTGGAGTAATTGTGTGTTTGAACTACAGCTGTTTTTGAGTAAATTGCTGAAATTTAAACCAACTTGGGCACACCATTATGCGTTATTATGTGATTCCAAAGGCTGTATGGGAGGTTTTCCATCTTTCTCAGTACTCTCAAAACAGAAACTGGGACAAATTTATTAAAATTGAATCTAGACTTAAAAACGTTTAAATTTTGATTTGTTTGAACAATTGTTCTTGGAATGGTTGTGTATATTTGAACTACTTTTATCCGGAGGTTTAACCATTTGTACAATGCAGTGGAATCTACGTATATAGCAGCTTCTTGGCAGAAAAAAAATGTTGGTCAAATAAAAATTTACTGTTTTGACATTTTTGCTCGACTGATGTTTAAACGGTTGTTTGATTATATTTTTGGAAGGGTGAAAAGTGTTTCTGTTTTGAGTGTACTGGGAGGGAAAGAGAGAACCCCAAAGACGATCTTTTCATTAGTCATTCAGTGACGATAGAACTAAAGACCAGCACAATAATCGGTTCAAATTTCGATGTACGTTTGAAATAGTGTTCTTGGTGTTCTTGAAGTGCTTGTGTACGTTTCAACTACTATTCTTGAAATAATTGTGTACTTTTGAACTAGTATTGGAGTAGTCTGTACATTTGAACTACTGTTTTCGGTATAGTTGTGTACATTTGAACTACTGTACTTGGTATAGTTGTGTACATTAGAACTACTGTTGTGTTTGATTAAACCACTGGAATTTAAACATAGTAAAGGGCACTGAGGGCTCTCTTGTTTTCAAAAAAGTGATATGGATTGTGAATTTAGTCAATAAATTAGAATATATGTTTGAACTACTGCCATTTTCGAGAAAATATAAAAATTTGAACCGCTTCGAGTGTACATTTGAACTACTTCTCTGAGTAACCGTACTTTTGACAGTTACTAACTCCAAGTGATGTGTCTCCCGTTCCGCCCGATCCACGCCCACAAACTGTCCTTTCTCGAAAACACTCGTTCGAACAGGGTCCCCCTGTCCCCTAGTTAGTCGCAATGTTCTCCTTCCTTAGATTTAGTCGTATTGTAGCGTTCACATTAAAGCTGTCGTCGATCTTCCACGGGCACGCAGCGTTTTATTTTACGAGGTTTCCACTATTTAGTAATTTGTGTAGATAAGTCGGTCGTTCACTTGGAGCGTCATATATTTGGAATTGAACTTGAAAAAACAGCATATTGTGATATAGGCCATTCGTTCCCCTTGTTTTTTTTGTTTCCTTCCACTCTTTTCTTTAGCCCCGGGGCGTTATTATTATTTTTTTATCGGTGTTTGTACAGATTTCACCTTTACTTCCGTTAGTAGTAGTTTTCGAGACATCCTCTTTGAATATCTGTGTATAACCTCTCGTATTATTAAGACCTTGTTTGTTACTGGTATTTTACTGTTGGAAATGATATAAAAATAAAGTATGTAATCAGCGTAACGGTTTTTTATTTCCGCAACTTTATCGATTGAGGGATAAATTCTACTGGACTATTTCAATGCTTAAAAATTCGTTTCTAAAGACTGTTTTTGCCCTGGTTGTGAAGTTTTCGATGGCAGCGCAGGTGCTTCGATTCACTCGATCAATGGAACTGAATCTGGGATGTGAGAAGGCTCCAAGGATGAAACATCGAACGCTGTAAGCGAGAAGGGAGCTTCGGTCTTAAGGTGAGTTTATTATACACCTTTTACATATTGTCTTAAAATTAATATTGTTTTCCTTTTGAGCTTCAATTTTGAGTGTACGTTTGAACTACTTTTCCTGATTGACAGCTATTCTCCGGTTATTTTGCTTGTAATTGGCCAAAATTAAAAATATCCATGTAGAATGTGATTTGTTGGCAAAAATCTAACAGATTTCGTTTATATAAAAAATAAAAAAATGTCAGTTTTTGCTCTTGTCATTTTTTTAATGGTGTTCCTTGTTTTTAACTTGACGTCCTGATATTTTTGTTAAGAGGGCTCTATAGCAAATAACCAACCAGCAATACATTTTTGTAGATCTTATTACAGTTTGTCTAAATACGAATTAATGCACAAAGAACGGACTTTCCCCCATTTTAAAGCAGATTTTCTATAAAATGGAGATAGTTTGAAACTCAAATGATTTTTTGATGTAAAGAAATTTGTAATTTACAATGCCGCTTGTTCAAAACCGGAAAATTACAAATTTCTTCACAACAAAAAGTAATTTTAGTTTTAAATTAGCTCCGTTTTATAGAAAATCTGCCACATAGTGGAGGAAAGTCTGTTATTTGTATATTAAATTCATATTTAAATAAAATAAAATCTATAAAAATGTATTACTGGTTGCCTATTTGCTATAGACTTCTCTTAATCAAACTTCATCGATATTATTAACTTCCATAATACAGTTTTTTTTTAATTTCTAATTTTTATCGATCAGTTATCAGTTTTTCTAATATAATTTTACATTTTTTAGCATTTTATCACATTTCGAAAAAAAAATTGCTTTGTTTCTCTGCATATAGCCATTAGGAATGCATTACAGTCACCTTCTTGGACATCAAAAAAATACTCCTTAAAAACACTCGTTTTTACTTTACTATTACATTCAACATATATTTTTTTACATATTTTTTTAAATAAAAGTGCGATTGAGATTAGCATTTATTTCATTTAGAAATAGAATAAATGAAGTAAAATATGACTGAAAGCAAAAAAATTCAGTGCAGACGCGTGGAATTGCAAAAGTTACAGATTTTTGAGAGGGTGCTATCTGTTTTGGACCTAAATAAAATAGTTTGTGAAAAATTAGACCAAAGTATTTTACTGTTATTCGCATTTTAGACCTAGATAAAAATTCTCATTACCCCCCATATGAACACATCAGACCTAGATAATTGATAACATTTCCGAAATATTACATTTAGACCTAGATAATGACAACTTTTATTGATTTTAGACTTAGATATAGTTTTCATGAACACATTAGACCCAGATAATAGATAAAATTTTGCATTTTAGACCTAGATAATGCCAACTTTAATGGATTTTAGACAAAAACTAACAAATTTACTAAATTCTGCTTTTTAAATTGTCATATGCATAAACGTATTAGACTTCGACTTAGATAATAGATAATTTAAAAAAATACATTTTAGATGTAGATATTGCCAGCTTTAATGAATTTTAGACATGATTTTCATTCTTTTCCAATTTGATTTTTGAAAAGAACACAGATCTAGATAAAAATGCTAAATTTTGCATTTTAGACCTAGATCGTTTTCATATACCCTCCACATGAACACTTTAGACCTACATAATAGATAAAATTTTAAAAATTTTGCATTTTGGACCAACTTTAATGGATTTTGGACTGATAACATTTACATACATCCATGTATTAATTATTAGACCTAGATAATAGATACATGAACAAATTAAATATAAATAATATTTTTTTAAAATTGCTATCGGGACCTAGATGATGCAAACTTTTACGGATTTCAGATAAATAATAAATTCACTAAATTCTGCTTTTTAGATGTAAATAGATAAAATTTTGCATTTTAGACCTAGATAATGCCAACTTTAATGGACTTTAGATAGACAAAAACTAAAAACCATTACTAAATTCTGCTTTTTAGACCTAGATAAAATTTTGATATACTCGCATACATGGATGTATTAAATGTACTTAGATAATAGATATTTTTAAAAAACGCATTTTAGATTTAGATATTGTCAGCTTTAATGGATTTTTAGACAAAATTTTCATTCTTCTCCCATTTGATCTTTGTATAAAAGAACATAGATCTAGATAAAAATACTAAATTTTGCATTTTAGACCTAGATCAATATTTCATATACCCTCTACTACATGAACACATTAGACCTAGATATTAGATAAAAATTTTTAAAATTTTGCATTTTTGACCAATTTTAATGGATTTTGGACAGATAATAATTTTTACATCCATGTATTCATATTTCAGATAAATAAAAACTAAAAAAAAATAATAGTTTTTTTAATCAATTTTTACACTTGCCAATTATAAATAATGCTATTTTATACGATTTCACTTCAATGTCTTATACTGATTGTAGAGGCAAATAAAAGCTGTTAAAATGGAATTTCATAATAAAATTGACAAACCTGAAAAATTTTGAAGTGAAAATGATACTCGATTTTCTTGAAAATGATTTTAATAAAAAAATTTTCGATGATTTACATACAAAAATTAAACAAAGACTAATAATATATCTCCTATATGATAAAATATACCTTAAATTGTAGACATAACTTTACGTAGAGAAAAGTATTGCAAATACATCACAGATTTCAGAAGAGTTGTAAATTTTAAGAACCTAATCTAAAATAAAAATAAATCACTTGACTACATGTAAGTTGTACCAATTGCACAAAATCGTAGCGATTCTTCACTGTCGATCGCAATTCTTACTAATTCTATAAAATTGAAACGGGCGTTTATTCGAAAAACTTCACAAAAACACTTAAAAATCTAAGACAAAATTTCAAAAGAAAGTTACATGAAACGTTTATAGAGTACGAATAAAATATCGAAAGCATATCATTGTTATTTAATAACTTCATTGTTAATATACAGGGGGTTCCGTAAATACTTTACTTTTATCATCTCCAAAAATTTTTTGCGCTTATTTTCCGAACACCCTGTACTGAATCCAAAAAAAAAGTTTGTTAAAATCAATCGAAATAAAGGTAAATAGTTCAATAAAGCATATATTATTAGCTGCAGCGTAAAATACCCAATATACATAAAATTTTGGAAATCCCTCAATTTTCGAAGATGCTGAACACGAATCTGAAGTAATTTTTGTGCGGTCGAAGAAAAAAATTCAATAAAATCAATGGAATCGCCACTATTTACAAGATTGCACAATTTCAGAGCGCCCGTATTTGAGGAACATATTTCAATAGATTTTAATTAAAAAAAAATGATTTAATATTTCAAATTCGTGACGTCATATGCCATAGTCGATATTGTCCCGCTCTCATTTGTATATGATCGTCCCTAATAAGGTTACTAAATACCGTAAACACATACATAAAACCTGCAGAAAAATTAAATTGGCGGTCATATCGTGAAAATAAACCTTAGCAAAGGTTGTTCTGTTTGTAGGGATCACCTTGTGATGACCTTGATCCATATTTTAAAGGTCATTTAAACGTCAACCCTTTTTTTTAATAGAAAAGTCTACCTTTGTTAATGTTAAAAGTGATTCTGGCTAGAATCATCTACCTCGAAACTTACGTCCTTCGATTTAACCTTGACCCTTTTTCAAGGTCATTTTGAATGTCGACTCGTATTTTGTAACAGAAACGACTATTTTTACTTCAGAAATGAAATTAGAGGAAAATTTTATATCAGGATACATGGTTCGGTTTTTGGTGAAAGTAACCCTTGAAGAAGAATGATAAAGAAACTTCAAGATCTGCTAAAAGTAGGGGTTATCGTTTAAAAACATAATTGACTCCAAAAAGATCTTGAAGTTTCTTTGTTATTCAATTTACAAAAGAGATGCAGAATGATCTTCAAAGGTCGCTTCCCCCAAAAACCAAAGTCACGAAGTGACCTCCAACAAACCGAAAAACTTTTGTTAAGAGGGCTCTATAGCAAATAGCCAGCCAGCAATACATTTTTCTAGGCTTTATTACACGGTTTGTCTAAATATGAATTAATGCACAAATAACAGACTTTTCCCCATTTTGTCGCAAATTTTCTATAAAATGGAGTTAGTTTGAAACTCAAATAACTTTTTGGTGTAAAGAAATTGGTAATTTACGATGTTCAAAAGCGCAAATTACAAATTTTTTCACAACAAAAAGTAATTTGAGTTCCAAACTATGTCCATTTTATAGAAAATCTGCGTTAGAATGGAGGAAAGTCTGTTATTTGTGCATTAATAACTTCAGATCCGTGTTCGTCGCTCTCGAAAATAGAAGAAAATTTCGCAT